GATTCTACAATTACTGATAATGAAGACTATGTGCCAATCGACTATAGCAAAGCTTCGTCCAATCATCAACAACAGATTAATGCATCTATTGAAAGTGAATATTATCTAGCTATGTCCTATCTTTTCTATTCTTAATTTTTATCGTCTTCTTTCTTCAGACCAATCAATTGCTTTTGACCATTTGTATAGTATAATAACTACAACTGATATTGCTGCACAGTCAACTACGTCAAATACAAAAGAAGGTAATTCAAAGAAAAATTGTTATCAACTAATAAATTTCTTTCATTGTTTTTATCAATATACTGTGTTCTTTAATGTTCTAGGTCAAAATAAACCATTAAATTCACGTTCACAAAGTGTAACATCTACAGAGAATTTTGACAAAGAATTTTCATCAAGAATTTCATCTCAGTTCCACCAACAAAGATTGGAAACAGATAATGAATTCGATTTTGACCAGAATGGTAATTTACTAATTCACCATTTATATTTCTTTTATTTTCGTCTTTCTATATGTATTTTAACCATTTATCTTTTTCTTAGATTCAGACGTCGAAAGTTATAGTTTTTTCAAACCGTCAATGGTGAATACATCAACACCTAGAGAATCAATTGGTACATTTGAATTCCTATAGTTTAATATCAAATATTTCTATCCGTACTTTATTAAGATAAGGATCATTCCAGTTTAAATGTACATGTTCCACAGCAACAATCCAATGAATTGGAATTACTTGCAAATCAAAATTCTTTGTCTCCAAATCTTGTTCGAGAAATTGAATCATTACAAATTCCAAACTCAAATCGTGAAAGTATATGAATTTCTAGTTACTTGCTAATCTCTCAATTTATATTTCATATGATTTAGAAATTTCCAACGAACAATTTTTAAATTCTTCGTCAATGTCATCAACTTCATTATCTTCAACATCTCAAACAATTACATTTGATCCAGTTGCAGCATTGGCAAATCCTTCATCGATACCAAAGCGTATTCTAGATAAATGTAAACAATTTCTTTTATCCAGTTCACCTGTAATTACACGAACATGCTGGAACCGACGGTTTGGTGGCAATGCCAATTTGTGCTATCAAGCAACACAATTATTATTAACAGCTGATTTATTGATGGAAGGTCAATTTATAGCATGTTCAACAAAATCTTCTACTAATTGGATAAAAAAATTACCAACTGATCCAACAAATACAACAACAACCTTGAGCTTTCAACAAAACAAATTAAATATTTTTGGAATAACATGGAATCAATATGTTTCATCTTTTCAACAACTGGAATTTGGTCATAGTCGTTCATCAGGTTTGATATCACAAGCTGCAGCAACAATTCTTCGTTCTAAACCATATCTTGATATTGGATTTATCTTGGATGAAACAATTATTTTGAAAAAAAGGAAGAAAGTATTTTATATATTGTGAATAGAAGTACCCATAAATTTAAGAATATTGTTTTTTTTTCAGAAACACTTGTAGCCCATCGACAAGATCAAACAGGTAATTTAATTACTAATTTAATGTCATACATGAAGCTGTACAGTCTCATTTCTGGATAATTCTTTCGCCACTCGATCTTGAAGATAATAGTATAAAAATATGATTATTTTTCTTTATTTAGAACCAGCAAATTTAAGTTTAACATCAGTTCAAGATATCCATCTGACTTCGTTTTCAGAACAAGAGAGTAATGATTGATCATTTTCTTCCAATACATTAAGATTTTCTTTTCTGCTCTAGATTCAAATGCAATACATGCAGATTCAACAGCATCCATTGTTACCCAATCTTTACCAATTAGTGATACATCTAATATTTTAATACAATCAACATTATTTAGTTCAGCACCTATTGGTAAAGTATTTATAATTTCTTTTATTTTTCACTTGATCTGTTGACAGCTTATTTAATCATGTGATTGCTAGAGATTTAAATCTGTTCAGCGTTTCCACTTTTTGTAAAGAAAACAGTTTTAAAATCGTTCCTGATATGAGACTATAAAATTAGAAGCGATTTAGTTTTGTTTTTTTCAATACAATTATTTGTCGATTTTCTAGAAACATCATTCAATAACCCAACATCAAATGCACCATCAACACCTAAACGAACAAGACGTGAATTAAGTCCTATGAAAACCAGATCAAAAACTCGACGTCTCGATAAATACGATGAACAATAAAGTCTTTAAGTAACTTCACATATTGTTTTTTTTATTGTTTATCTTTCTTGTTGTTATCGATATATTGTGTACATAATCAAAATAATTATGCGAAAAATATTAGATAGTCCGAACTGAACCTTTTCTCTGTTGTAAGTCTTTGGGACTTAAGCGTGTTCTCAATTATGTATCAGGTATTTTCTTCGAACGTTGTTATTGTCATTAAGATGCCTTCTTGTTTAATCATCTTTTATTTTGCTATGTTTACTGCTCTGATGTCCTTCTCTCTATTTGTTGTTTTACATTCATCATGCTACCCTGTAAACGTTCATGCTGTTCTAAAACAAAAATGGTTTTGTTTATTTTCATTGAAATAACCTTGAACGATGATGTGTTATATCATTATTGAAAATATTGTTTACTCTTATATGATATTATTCATTTTCTGCTTTTTTGTCTTGCAAACGTGAAATAAACTGGTATAAATGATTTATATCTGCTTTTGCATGCATCTACTAATGGATATAAAGAACTTGAGAAAAAGTGACAAAATCATTAGCCACTCATAATAATTTGAATGCTTTTCTATGCATGCATATGAACTGTCACATAGAGTATAAAATCTATATCATTTGATAAAATGTCATTCAAAGGTTGAAACTGTTCAACGCATTATTTGAAATAACAAACTTTTCTGTATATGCTTTTTTTTCCAGATATTGTCAGAAATTCATACCCTTCGATTTTTCAAGATAAAATGTCATCAAATATCATAGTGACAAATTCTGATGAAGTTTATATCTTGACATTACATCGAACATTCAAAATCAAAATTCTTCACCTAATAAAAGATTTAAATGATCGTTTGGACTCTATCATTATAACTCGCACACGAGACATTACAAATATGGTCAATGTTAAATTTAATACGAACCTTACGGAAACTACGGTGCAAGAAATCATCAATGGTTTAAATAATGGTGAAATGAATGAACTTTTTCATTCTTTTGATATCAATCAGTTACTCAATCATTATATGACAAGTTCAGTAATTGATACAAAAGCAACTTTGGTTTGTTTAAAACCATTCACGAAAAAATGCATTAGCTGTGAAGAAGACCTTGATGTGATTTTTAATCAATATATCAATATATATAATTTAGATAAAATTATTAAAGGCGGTGTTTATTATTCCAAATGCAACAGATGTCATCAAAAATTTTACCCAAATTATTTCGAAAAGCTTACCAATGGAAAAAGATTCGTGACAACAAATTGTTTATACAATCAAGAATACATTTATTTTGGTGGCAAGAAAGCTTATTCTACTCAATTGTTAATAAATTTTACATCTCTTTTCTTGCGGCAATATTCCGGTTTTGAAAACTTCGAGAATTCGTATAATCTATCTCTTAAAAAATATTACAATCTGAATTCAAATCAAAGTGCCGTAAGTATAGATATTTAGTATTGGAGAAATCGATACGCTTTTTCTATATATCTTTTTCTTTTGTACGCAGAAGTAACTCATTTCTTTTGATTTGCTTTTTTTTCCATTGGAGAAGTTTTTTTGAAACCTATTTGCACATTTTTATTTCAGGCACATGAGATAACATCTGAAATTAGTCGAGAATATTTCTCCAACATTTGGTTTATATATCAGTTATCGTTATATACATTTTTTATGAATGATCTTCGTGAATTTGAAATACCAGGTTTATTAGATAATAATTCTATCTATGACTTTTTCTATATTAATTACGATCAATAGTACAATGATTTTGTTAATCATTGGGCAACTCATCATCGAACACATCCATGTGCAGCAACAAGAAAGAATATAGATCCTGGCTGTATGAGATGTTTTGTCTTGGATGGCATGCAAAAAGTTGTGAGACCAATTTGTACTAATAAGAATAAACAGGAATGTACCGAAGAATTTCCTGATGGAATTTACATTGGCTGTGGTAACACACCGAAAACAAAGTCCGGCTTATGTGAATCATGCCGTGAATCTATTTTATTAAAAGATAGTGAAACATCTTTATTAACTGATGATGATAAAGGGATTTATGATGATCCATTGATGGGATGCAATGTTTCTAGAGAAGATCGGTATGTTGGTAGTATATCGATATTAGCATAGATAGTTTTTTTCTAGTTTCGTGGACCTAGAAAAGCGATCCTCACAAGGTATTATTTACACATTGTCTCCGTGTGGAATAGTTGTCGGCTTTGATGAAATTTTTCGATCAGAATCTTGTTTTATCGCTTTACGGCATTTATTCAAAATTATACATGTTATCAATAGTCAATATCATCAATACTTACCAAAAATGATTATTTATGATAACGCTTGTAGCTTATATATCTACTTTTGGAATCGATATGGGAAAAGCGATCGTAATCGACATATTCCACAAACATCATCATCAAAATTTATTTCTGAATGCTCCTTCTTCATCGATCGATTCCATCAACCGAATCATAAACGGCCTATGTGCCAAAAAGAAAGAAACTTAGACTATATTCACACAGATGCAGCAGCTAAAAGTATTAACACTGAAGTTGCGGAACAAAGAAATAGTGTCTTGAAACAATATCACAATGCCCTATCATCTTATTCATCAAAGAAAGCTCGTATTGCTTATTTGGTATTATTCCATCTTATGAATTGTGAACGTAATACTTGTGATAATCAATTCGAATATAGTCGAAAATACGTAAAAGGTGAGTTTTGCGAACAGTCCTGAAAAATATTTTCTAAAAACCAGAAAGAAAAGATAAAAAGGCCACCAACCCACAATTGGTTATATGTTTTTTATTTAGGCTCCTCTTCGTCGACATG